CCCCCCCCCCCCCCTCCCAATGCCCCCAAAAAACAACCAAATTGAGGGGCCTCATCCTTTTTTTTTTTCTGCTGTGAGGCCTTGCTTAATACTGATTCTGTTGTGAGGCCTCATTCCACAATGACAGATTCCAAGTTGCAACGACAGTTACAACTCCAATAACGCTTTTTATAACACTAAATAATTATAATGATACCAGCTCTGTATGTAGTGTTAGAAAACCAAACAAAGAAAAGAAATGATGAGAGAAAGAACGGGACAAGTCATAAAAAATAGTTTAATCATTGTTTAATACTTGCGTACCAAATACACCATAAAAACCTAATGAAATTAACATACTTCTTTCTCAACCATTTCCTACACGCTTACGACCCACATGAGCCTGGGGAAATAACTAGCATTCCTCACACTGACATAGAAACACAACCGACACTCGCACAAGATGACATGCTACCAGTCCTCACTTGTGCCACCCAGTACTACACATAATGAACACAAGAGTCAATAGAAACATTTTATCTGAATGCCAGGGTGATCCTCACACAATATTTCATATGAAATACTGCTGTTTTCATAGGTCTAGTGATGACTACAAAGCAATAGTTCAAAGGTGCTTTACCAACAATTTTCAGAGGAATTTTACAGACCCATGTACAAGTGCTCATGTATCTACCACAAAATTGTGTCATTAAAAAAACTTTTTAAAGATAAGTTGAAGATAGGGTATATTACTAAAGCATCATTGTACTTAGAGTCATCCGCAGTTGATGATGTCAGAGTTGGTAGGTTGCTCAGTGGTCAACTTATAAGACAAAGATCAAAAGTCTTATCATGCCCCTGTCTGTATTCCAAATGTTAACATTGTGAGATAGTGAATCTATGTATGGACGTTAGTTGTCAGTGATTTAGGATTTCATGCCGGCCATGATCTTTTGCTTGTATGACGCCACCAATTTATCAAAGTTGTCGAAATCTTTCCTTTTTTTATTCGGGTGCTGAAACAAACCAAAATAACATGATTAAACTCAAGTCCCACGCTTACAAAATGACAATTAAAATGTTCACATCATCCCTGAATGTCAACACACAAAAGAACAACACATCATCTCTAAATGTCAACAGACAAAAGAACACATCATCTCTAAATGTCAACACAAAAAAGAACAACATATCATCTCTAAATGTTAACACACAAAAGAATTTCACATCATTTAAAAATGTCAACACACAAAACTAAAGCAGTTCACATCATCCCTGAATGTCAACACACAAAAGGAATGCACATCATCTTGACCACTTACACTGTTTAAACACAACTGTTTATGACAAAAAAAACAACTCACCATCATTTTGGGAGGTTTCACTTTGGCAGATTTCTGTGGAGCGTGTTGAGCTTGTCTGTTCTGGAACTTATTGTTCCTGTTCATTCCCCTTCTGCCCACTTCTTTTCCCTGTTGACCCGGTCGCTGTTTGTGTCTCTGTTTTGGGCCAGAGTGAGATGGCAGTCCCAGTGGTCCCTAAAGATAGAAAAAAAAAATGATTTGATGAAGACGGAAAAACATGCACACCCAATAGATTGCAGGTACAAATTATGAATGCACACAACTATAATGAAGTGTTTCACGTTTGTAGCTCAGTTTGATACCAATAAACAAAGACAGGTGATATCAAACAGTGGAATCAACTAGTTTTATCAAGGACTATTATCAAGGAGGCGTTTTTGTATTCTTGACCTTGACAAAAACTATAAAATGGACCCTTCCATACCAAGTAGGTGGCAATTATAAGTGTAATAGTCAAATTAAGTTTCATTTAAAAAATTTGTTTATGGTCAGAAAAAAAACAACATTATTATGCAACAATGGTGATTCTTATTGTGACAGTGATCATTAAATTTGGTTCTTTCCCAATCATTTTCTAACAGAACAGAAGATACACAGTTTAATCTCTACTTTGTTGACCTACACAAATGCAACCCATTTTTTGTGTGCTGTGTATAAACACTACCTTTTTGATGCTACACAAATGCAACCCATTTTTTGTGTGCTGTGTTTAAACACTACTTTGCATACAGCATAGCTACAGAAATGCTAGCCATATCATTACATACCGTGTTTTTACACTACTACAACATAGCTATAGAAATGTCATCCCTACCTTGTGCAGTGACCTGGCTACCTTGTCCTGCTGTTTCATGGTGTCCAATGGTCTGGCATCCTTCCATGGCTTCTGTTTCCTCTGCCTTTTCCTTTGTCTCTTCCCCTCCGGGCCACCAGTCACAGCAGCTTGGCTCTTCTGGTCCAATTCCTTCTGTTTCCACTGGGCCTGTCAACAAATAACTCATCAATATCACAACCATTACACCATAAATCTAGCATTATTTTAAAGAATGAAATATTTCATACAATTGTCATTTCCCATAAAGCAGGGATTTTCAGCTTGATAAAAGTCAACATGTTTAAACTAGATATTAAAATTTCAATCACTTTTTACTTTGTAGAAAAAAATGTAACTAAAACATTTATTTAACAAAGAAGTATATTCCCTCTAAAGAAAATCTTGAAAGACATTGGTCAAGATTTTGTGATTCACTGATGTGTCCAGACACATGTTGAAATCTGATGTGAATGAAGTGACTAAATATTTTTATGGTGAAGCACCCAAGTAGATGATACAAAAAAGTTGTTGTAATGAAATCCACGGTGATGAATTAAGGATTTTTATGAGATATTTGTAACAATGTTATAACCTTAAATAACTATAAACAGGAGAGCTTGTCAGGTCAGCACCCGTTTCCACACAAGTAAAATAATATAAAAAAGAAATGTAGAAATATAAATCAACATGTTTTCTAATCTGCCTGGCAATAACATCACTAACAATGATTACCAAGATTACAATAAAAATGATGTTGATAAAACTCATTATTTAGTTCCTTTTCCTTAAATTAAAAAAAAAAAAGTCGTAAAAAATCCCAGTTTATACATTGAAACTTTTCTTTCTCCTATTAAAAACTAACTCTGAATTAAAACTCTCTCTAGCTAAAACTCACCATTGATTTCTCTAATCTATTCTGTTTGGTCTCCAAAGCTTTTCTGTTCTCAAGGGAAAATTCCACTATAGGTCTCTAGGAAAAAAACAATTAAAATAATGTCAAGCAAATGTTACTTTCTAGCCAAACCCTATTTTAAAGACTATTTTTAGCTTTTGATTAGCCCATGATATGAAATATTGTTATCTTCCTATTTAGCCTATTTGCAGAAAGTCTATGAACTTTAGGTGGATTATCATTTCAAGATAAAATTAAAATCATATTCATTAATAAAGATTTAAAATGTCAAAACTTGTTACCTTTTTATCACCAAATATATTAGGATTGTTGTTTAGGTGGTTCAATGCATTCAGTGCATGGGCATGCTGTGAAAATGAACAAAATGCAAAACCCCTGGACTTGCCAATACCTTGGCTGTTGAGTCGGTTGAGGTCCCTCATGATTCGGCACTGCAACAATGGAATATGAGACTTAATGCTGAGACAGGACTCTTTAAACTTGTAAAAAAAAAATCTGATGTACTTCTTCTAAGATGGTTAAACTTCCCTGCCACATTAAACACATTCCCTGCCACATTAAACATCTTCCCTGCCACATTAAACATCTCCCCTGCCACAATAAAAATCTCCACGTCACATTTAACATTTGCCCTGCCACATTAAACAACTTCCCTGCCACATTAAACACATTCTCTGCCACATTAAACACATTCCCTGCCACATTAAACACATTCCCTGCCACATTAAACATCTTCCCTGCCACAATAAAAATCTCCACGTCACATTTAACATCTGCCCTGCCACATTAAACAACTTCCCTGCCACATTAAACACATTCCCTGCCACATTAAACACATTCCCTGCCACATTAAACATCTTCCCTGCCACAATAAAAATCTCCACGTCACATTTAACATCTGCCCTGCCACATTAAACAACTTCCCTGCCACATTAAACACATTCCCTGCCACATTAAACACATTCCCTGCCACATTAAACATCTTCCCTGCCACAATAAAAATCTCCACGTCACATTTAACATCTGCCCTGCCACATTAAACAACTTCCCTGCCACATTAAACACATTCCCTGCCACATTAAACACATTCCCTGCCACATTAAACATCTTCCCTGCCACAATAAAAATCTCCACGTCACATTTAACATCTGCCCTGCCACATTAAACAACTTCCCTGCCACATTAAACACATTCCCTGCCACATTAAACACATTCCCTGCCACATTAAACATCTTCCCTGCCACAATAAAAATCTCCACGTCACATTTAACATCTGCCCTGCCACATTAAACAACTTCCCTGCCACATTAAACACATTCCCTGCCACATTAAACACATTCCCTGCCACATTAAACATCTTCCCTGCCACAATAAAAATCTCCACGTCACATTTAACATCTGCCCTGCCACATTAAACAACTTCCCTGCCACATTAAACACATTCCCTGCCACATTAAACACATTCCCTGCCACATTAAACATCTTCCCCGCCACATTAAACATCTTCCCTGCCACGTAAAACATCTCCCCTGCCACATTAAACATCTTCCCTGTCACATCAAACATTCCCCCCCCCCACATTAAACATCACATTAAACACCAAAATAAATTGTGTCCACTGCATTGTGTAGGGAGATGTGAAGTTTTTTTCTAAATCCAAGTTAAACTTCAGCAATTTCTGGTAGCACACTCTTATTTTGTAATGAAACACTTGACTTGATAACATTTTGAGACACTTCCATGATGTTTTAAATAAGAGGAATTCTGCATTTACATTTGCTTTTCTTAAATTATAATGTGCAATTTATTTTTTTTTTTAAAATGCAGCAAAAATCTTAGTAAACACTATAAAATGTTAACAACTTACAAACTGTTTTACTACTGAGATCATACCAATTAACCTGACATGTCAACTTACAACCTGACACATGACTGACATGTCAACTTACAACCTGACACATGACTGACATGTCAACTTACAACCTGACACATGACTGACATGTCAACTTACAACCTGACACATTACTGACATGTCAACTTACAACCTGACACATGACTGACATGTCAACTTACAAACTGTTTCACTACTGATATCATACCAATTAACCTGACATGTCAACTTACAACCTGACACATGACTGACATGTCAACTTACAAACTGTTTCACTACTGATATCATACCAATTACCTGACATGTCAACTTACAAACTGTTTCACTACTGATATCATACCAATTAACTTGATATGTCAACTTACAACCTGACACATGACCGACATGTCAACTTACAACCTGACACATGACCGACATGTCAACTTACAATACCACACACCACTACAATTGAACTAATTAACCTGGCATGTCAACTGACAAATTATTATGAATGACATGTCGATGAACCATCCTGACTTGCCTCCGTGACTTTGGCTGATTTATCTCCAGCTGCCTGGTACACAATTTGCCTTAACCTCTGGTCAACTACTGTCGGTGGTATGTTGTGGACACACAGACGGGTGGAGGACACAAAAATGTTCTGGTCCTTGAGTTTCTGTCTGTTGGCAGCACTGATCTGTTGATACCAGATTCAAGGCGAACATTTTTTATACAAGTAAAATATTCATGAAAATGTAGGCAGCACTGATCTGTTGATAATAATAATAATAAAGATTATTTAAAAATCACGCTTCATCCCAAAAGACTTGAAGCGCGGTATATACCACATTGAAGTACAAAATTCCCTTTGTAACATCTTAATAAATTTTTTTTTTTATAGTCTTCAAAAAGACATGATAAAGTTTTACTGACGCATTGCCCATGAGCAGTTCAAAATGTGTCTTATACGCAATAATTGCTAAACAAAAGTTGAGGCAAAATTTCATTTAAATTTATTCCCTCTTAACATTTGGTCCTATTTTGTTTGCTAAGATTGGCCAGCTTAATTAACTTGAGGACACCTTATTCCTTGGATTAACTGCCAAGTGAATGATTTGATTACTTAGCTTTGAATTTCCTAAAGGCTTGAGAGCCTGGTGTTGTCCTATTGTGCAAAGCAGCAGAGCATACTGGTGGTGGTGGATCATGTCAAGTTGGCTAAATTTCCTATAAATGCAATTTTAGCTCAGCACATGATACGCACCCCAGGGGGAATGAACACTATCAGCATCACACAAAGACAGTCTCAATGCATCCAACTTACCTTTGCTCTCAATGCAAGATCTGCTGGTGGCACATCTTTGGCTGCCTCTGTGCCTTCACGAATAACTAAGAAAGGAAATTGTATAGATTGGCACTGGCAATTAATCCTATTTTTCCTAGACTGTATAGATTAACACTAGCAATTCTTGCTGTTTAAAATTATGTTCTACTTTATTCATGTAAAATAAATATAAGGTTAAAAAGGCCCATTTCAAAACTAGTGGCGATTCTAGTTGTTTTTCTGCATATTATAACATTAATTTTTTTAAATTAAATGCAAACATAAAGTGAAAATTCTATCTGCTGTTATTTCAGTTATTTACTTACCACCTTCCCTGGCCAAGTAAAGATTTCTTGTGTCCTTCTGTTCTTTCTTTTTCTCTTTACTTTTCAGTAGTTCCTCGGCCCGCTGTCTGCTGATTGCCTTTTCCACAACTATTTGTCTCCCACCAATTGTAAGCCTGTTTTCCTATCAAAGTATGCATTCAACAGTTTGTAATACAACACTGTGTAAAGTTGATACTAATCATGACCCTTGTAGGTGATCATCAGTTGTGAGGTAATATGACAGTAGCTATCAAATAGGAAACCACACAGATGATGCAGCCATTGCACAAGAAATTTTTAATATGATTCTCTTCTTTACATTAGAAATCCTACTTCAAGAATCACAAAGAATTTTCAAAAATACATTTCTCATATACAACAGTTTGATTTTAAAAAATAATACTCATGTGAACATTTTTGTTTTTAACCCTCCTCCCCCAACTTTAAAAAAAATAAATAAATACTTTTGTTTTTTTACCCCTTTCCAGATTTTACATTGAACTATCAAGTAGAGTTGATGAGTGCCACACTTCAATGTCAATTTTTTTAAAACATCAAAGCTATCAAATTTAAATATAATTGAAATAAATACTAAATGAGATGTGTTTTATTTACACTCTTTCAGTGGTATAGGAGAAAGTAAATTAAATTTGCTATGATGAGCTGTGCAACTTTTTTTGTTTGTGTACATCTGTGGTAAGGTAAACAGAGGACATAAATAAAGTTTCTTACAGACTCAGTCGCAGCCTTGTGACAAGCATCTGCACTCTCCTTGGACAAGAACTGGACAAACGCTGAACCTAAGCAATGGATGAAGAATTAATTTGATCATTCTCTAATATTTTGGTGCACATTCCTGACAAGAACTGTACAAATAGTATCTAGTAGTAAAACTGAGGACATTCAAATATAAGTCGGCTATATATTATTTATTTGAAATCAGCTAACATTGATAAAGACATTTTCACCTAGAATTTCCTTGAAATATATGATTTCATACATGTTAAAGTAGAAAGTACATTTATTAGGTAATCCATTTCAATAATATTTTTGTGTAAACATTACTCCCCTTTGTCCAGTTTTGTGATGTCCCTTATACTTATATCAGAGAATATTTTTTAATAACAAGGATGATACAAGGACTAAATAAGAATTTGTTGATTGAATGTTTTCTTCAAAAATCCGTTAGAAAGTTATACTGACCATAAGCAAACAAATAAAATAAATTAAAACATGATAAAATAGAATAAGTATCTGTTTGGAGAGCTTGAATAATAATAACTACCTTTGGGCATTCCCGAGAGAAAGTCCATTACAATCTTGCAGTACTTGACATCACCAAACTGAGAGAAAAACTCATAGAGGTCCTCCTCTTCTGTGTTGAATGGCATGTTCCTTTAGTTGATGTTATAAGGAGAAATGGATTAAAAACCATACATTTTTGTTTAAGACATAATTTTTCAAGTCATCCTACAGTGTTTTACAAAGGTTGCCGATGTGCCTCAAAATCAAAATGTGGTGGCTTTTGACTGCGTCCAGGGGGTGTTTAGCAACCATAACCACAAAAAAAACAGGTGTGTGGGAGGATGATGAAATGGACTTATCAGAACATCAAGACAGCTGCTTGGGGGGGGGGGGGGGAGTTAAACCCTGAGTAAAATTTTCAGCCACTAAAGTAGGGGAGTCAGCAGAAAACTTCTATGGGGTTTAAAAAAGAACAAAAATGGTCTTCTAAGGTGTCCCAAACAACTCCTGGTTTTCAAAACAACTCGCGAAATAAAAAGACGGGTGTCAAGACCGCCAGAGCCTCTTGTGAAACAGGTGCTGCTGTATTTTAAGCCATAAACAAGTTAGCCAATGCCCATAAAGCTTTAAATGGCTCCTTTAGATTTCCTATTAGAATTTACCTGATAAATAGAGTTCTTCCTTCATTCACATCACTTGGTCTCTCTGAAATCAAAATACAGACATGACATCTCAGAAATAGAAATTACTTTATTTTACATAATTACAAGTGTTTTACCACAGCTTTGTGACGAAAGTTATCAAAATCGTAACTGTTTATCTGGAACTGCATCTATCTTACCAAAGTAGCAACTAAAAGTTAAAAAAAAAATTTAAGAAAAACAAATTTGTTAGCACAAGCATGTTTAAAAAAAGCATGGGAAAATAAATGAGTAAATTATTACTAGATGAAAGCTTACCAATAGTCTTGGCCGGCTTTCCATGTGAATCCTCATCTTCACTTCCACTATCTTCTTCATCATCTTCACTTGTGTCTTCATCATCACCACCGATAGATTCTTCTTCATCGCTCCAGTCTTGTTCATCTTCACTGGATTCACTTTCTTCCTCACCCTCATCACTAGAGCTTTCATCCTCTTCACTACTTTCCTTTACAGCTTTTCCTTTTTGTGTTGTCACATTACCTTTGTTTGTCACTGCATTTCCTTTTTTGGTGGCACTTATACTCTTACGGTCAACCTGAGCATCTTCTTCTATGCTTTCATCATCCTCATCCACATCCATGCTAACACTGTTGTCTACATCTTCTGTGCTCTCTTCTGGTATTTCCATTTTGTTGACTATAATTCAAGGTATTTTTAAAATTAAAATGTTCATTAAGTGATTAATTATACACATTTAATAATCTGATAACTTATCACAAATATGGAGATACAAAAACTCTGCTTATAAAAACTCCATTAGTGTAAAAGGGGAGGGGGTAAAAGTTCCTCCCTATCTACAACACATCAAAACAAAACAATATGAATATTTGTACCTGTTCGGGTGGCTTCAAATTTATCCTTAGGTAGAGACCAATCAACAGCGACAACTCTACCTGCGGAAAAGAACATGTTTTAAAAATGTGAACAACAATATTTAGAGTGTTTCCCAACCTTTTTTGTGCCATGCTCCACCCAAGCCTTTCTAAAATTTGTATGCGTATGCCCCTCTGCCCCCCATGTATCATAAGCATAATTTTTAATATTCTAAAACAGGGTTGTTTACTGAAGAAACTTAAATGATTTTTAAAACCCTTTTAAAGAATGCTTATTTTATGGTGGGACTTAAACGATTCTCCTTTTAAATTACAAGTTAAATCAAAGTAGACGGTTGGTTTTAAAAATCTAGACAGCTAATTTATCAAATTGCCCTCCTAAACAATCAAATTGCCCCCCTGTGGGGCATGGGCCCCACGTTGGGAAAAAGGGATTTAAACAAACAAAACTTCAATCATAGATGTTTTTCCTTTGTTTATAACAAAATTTGCTGCACATAAGTAGGCCAAATATCTTACATAAAAACTTTTGAAGTGATAAAAATAATAAAAAAGAACAATAGGGATAAAAATCTATTGCTTTCTACCAGGCTAGTGACAGGAAGTTTGATAGCCGGCTTTCTAACAGGCTAGTGACGGGAAGTTTGACAGCCGGCTTTCTAACAGGCTAGTGACGGGAATATTAACAGCTGGCTTTCTAACAGGCTAGTGACGGGAAGTTTGACAAACAATTTAGTCCCTTTGCCGTGCAGACTGACTATGCCAAAAGGGAATATCTAATTATAAAAAACCCACTAATGACACTTACCAGATATTTCTTTTCCATTGAGCTCTTTTACCGCCATTCCTGCCTGGGCTTTGTTAGCAAACTGGACAAAACCAAAACCCATTTTCAAGCCAGAAGCTGAAACCAATGTGATTTAATTATTAACAGTACATGCTGAATTGCATAATTCAACAACCATAGTTATATAAAGCAGAGAAATCTTTGGTGCAATTAGAAATTATTGAGAAGTTATCATAGATCATAAACCTTTCATAGGAGTATGAACGTCAACAACTGTTGGTAAACAAACCTTTCTTAGGAATATGAACGTCAACAACTGTTGGTAAACAAACCTTTCTTAGGAATATGAACATCAACAACTGTTGGTAAACAAACCTTTCTTAGGAATATGAACGTCAACAACTGTTGGTAAACAAACCTTTCTTAGGAATATGAACGTCAACAACTGTTCCGAAGTTTCCAAATGCTTTTTTCAAGTCTTCTTTTTCACACTGGCAAGAAAAAAGAATTAAAAAGAATTTTAAAGTAGAGTTAATCTATAGAGTATAGCAATGTTGCTCTTCAAATTGTCTCATTTTGTCTGGACTACTTACAGAATATTTTAATTTGAGAATACACTAAATTGAAAAAAAAAAATAAAAATACTCAAGGTTTATTTAATTAAAATCTAATAACAAGTAAACATTCAGGCTAAAAGCAAAAGTCTTCTTCAAGTAGCATTATACTTAGAAAAAACACAAAAAATCTCCTACAAGTAACATCATGGTACTTAGAAAAAACAGAAGTAAGATTATACTTAGAATAACACAAAAGTTTCCTCCAAGTAACATTATGCTTAGAATAACACAAAAGTCTCCTTCAAGTAACGTTCTACTTAGAATAACACAAGTCTCCCTCAAGTAACATTCTACTTAGAATAACACAAAAGTCTCCTCAAGTAACATTATACTTAGAATAACACAAAAGTCTCCCTAAAGTAACATTATTCTTAGAATAACACAAAAGTCTTCTCCAAGTAACATTTTACTTAGAGAACACCTGGTTTTAATTACATAAGAACCAAAAAGAAAAGAGGGAAATGATTTAGTTTCCCACCAAGAAAAGTGTCAAGTCATACATACAGAAACAATATACTCAATTACAAACTTTCTAACTATAGCCTCAATGATATTTACTTGATTGATAACAAAAATCACCCTGAAAATCAAATCACCTTAAAAGACAAGTTCCTAACAATCAACCTGGCTCTCTTCCCTTCATTCAGAGGATTTGGGGCCTGTCTTAGCCCTTTCACTGGTGGCTCAGCTTTGGGTTGCTTAAACTTATTAAAACTAGCTGTCTTTTTTTCTTGAGCTTGCCCCTTAGTTACAGGGGCTTTGGTTTCAGGGACATTTTTCTGAGCTTTGCCTTCATTAGTGGTTTCAGTTGTTTGATCATCTCCAGGTTCCTTTACTGGACGACCAAACTTTTTCTCTGATGGAGGAAAACAACCAAAGAAATTAATTTTTTTAAGCAAAAGTTGAATTTATAAAAAGTGGTGTAAAAATAACATTCAATAAGTTTGAAGCTTCCTATATGAACAAAGATACTTGAGTTCTTATCAGCAAAGTAACTTATAATAATATCCATGGCTCTTCATATAGCATATTGTACTATTGTACATGTAACAGCTGTATTGTAACTAATTCACTACCGTCATATTTCAAACACTATAATAAAAAGTAAGTAGTTTTTGGCAATACTAATATAGCAATGGAGGCTTAAAAAGCTGTCAATAATTTAGCTTTTATTCCTGGATACAACTGCCACCATGTTTTCACTGAAATGGTTGCACACTTTTGGGTTTGATGTTATACTTCAGTGAATCATGTTAAGTTCTTGTTAACTTTATTGGAACCAATGTGGTAAAAGGAACTCAGTCTTAATGATCTTTGTCACATTGAAAGACAATTTATTATATTATGATATCTTTCATCACTATTGCTACAGGAAGCCAGGCTTGCTACAGTGATCAAAATAATATAAACACTTTGATATTAGTAACAATGTGAAATAAACAATTACTTTTTTCTTTTTTCTTTGCATACATTATGTGCACATTTCTCCCTTCTACTTTCTTGATCGTCTTCAGAGCCTTCTCTGCATCTTCTCTGTGAAAAGTATGGAACAACTTATTTGCAGCATTCATGCAAGAATCTATTTTGCATACATGCACGTTTTGTTGTGTGCCATTTCAAAATGTTTAGCTAATATTGTTACATATTCATACACAAGAGGCAACAAAATGAATGGTGAATATACTTACAGAAGGGTGTATTTGACATAGCCAAAGCCTCTGCATTTTCCTGAATCTTAAACAAATGAAAGGAATTACCAAAATAAACAACATATTTTAATAAATCTTCAGAGTCAGACAAAGTTTAAATACTTTTCTTAATGTCGGTAAACTAAACTATTGATGAACCTAAAGTGAGTTACTGGCCAAATTATTGAAACATGGTCCTTAACACTGGCAGCCATCTTTAAAAACAATGTCCAGTGGGAGCAACTCTGATTAAATAATGGCTATGGTATTCCATCTTTTTTACTCTGTTTAATGTTTAGAGTCTCCTCACCAGTATTTGTTTGGTGCTGAATTTTGTTCACCTTAATTAGCCGAGCTGGTCTTTTACTCAACAGCTTAAATTATTTTTAAAAAATCATATTTAATTTTGCTACTATTATATTAGTGAAAATGCTAAAATACAATGACATGGATTTTTAAGATAAAATATGTTTTAAACCAACTATAATTTGGTCTTTCAATCTTTTAACATAAATTATAGCATTTTCAATTATAAAGTTATTATTTCCCCTTCTAGTGTGATGCTAACCACATTGGTGTGACAAAAACATAATTTGGTCTTTCAATCTTTTAACATAAATTATAGCATTTTCAATTATAAAGTTATTATTTCCCCTTCTAGTGTGATGCTAACCACATTGGTGTGACAAAAACATAAACCAAGTGATGCTTAAACTTTCTGTTAAACTGTTATTATGGTAGCCAATGGAAAGCATAGACGGTTTAAAAAAAGTAAAATATCAAATCAATATTGTACTAATAAGGTAAGTTAAATTTGGCAAGTGAGGAAAGGGCGACCGAAGCTTGTTTACGCTTCTTGCCGCATATCTAGAGCCTAGAGGGGTACAATGCAATAAAGTAGCCAAGTACACCACGAAATTTATGTACTTTAAATTTTAACGTCTCAATTCCTAATTTTAGCAGACGTGAGTTATTTTATTTTTTACACGGCTACCATGGGAAAAAACATGGCGTAATCTCTTTGCATTTACTTCTACTTAATTGATTTTAATGTAATACTTTTAATGTCGTGGTTTCGTTTTTTCAAATTAAAAATAATTCTACATGTTTGAAAGAAAGTATGGCTCATTAGTGAGTTTGGTAGAGTGCAAAATATAATTCCCGATAACTACGCTAAATGATATATTAAAAAAAATAATGCAATTACATTTGGTGCGCAATAATTTCTTTTCGGAAAATGAAATTGTCTTAATTTACATATGGTGTAATAAATATTCGCTTTAAAAGTGGTTAGGACATCAGAGTATTAATATAGTTCATGGGCGTGAAATTAAAAAGTGTGCATTGACGTTTTATGGGGGGAAGGGAAGGAGCAATAATTGGGATTCTTAAATGTGCGTTACTTGAGTTCGGTAAATTTTGATTTAACAGTATGGGTTTTGCCAAGAGTTTTCCCACCTAAGCCCAGTGACGTCACATTGGGGAATCCCAACACTGGACTTAGGATGAATATATCTATTGTTTGAAGGACATGAATGATGTGTGTTATAACATTCCTGTTATTTATTGAGCATTACTTGCGTCATAAACGATACGGTTAATATGAAGTATACTGAAATGAAATTTTACATTAATTTTTATTTAAAATACAACTTGCACATTTCAAAAGAAAGGAAAAAAGAAACACATCCTTGCTGATACCCCAAGACCCAACACCGGTGAAAAAAAAAGACACCCGCCAAAATTGTTATATTTTGACTAGTTGACATAAAAAATTCCCTGTTGAAACTTAGGTAACAAAAGGAAGACTACTGCTCAAATTGCATTTGGAAGGATCTTCTAGGAACTAGGGAGGGGTCTCTGGGGAGGGAAGGAGGGGAGACCCCTCCCCAAACCCCTCCCCTCACTTTAAATACCAAAATAAGAAACATAGAAATTCTCTGGGGAGGGGAGACCCCTCGCAAATTTAACAAGAAATATAAAATAAGAAAACAATAATTTGCATTATGTAAATACAAACATTTACACATTGTCAGTCTTACCGCTAACTCAAAAATAGCCCTTGAGTAGCTACTTCGATGAAAAAAGGGAGACTACTACTTTTGTGTATCGGAAATGGGCATCAGCGGAGAAAAATCAGAGTTTTTAATTTTCCAATGTGTGTGCACATTTATTATTAAATGAGTACTTTCGACATATATTTGAGTTCCGTTTCTAGCCATATATTTTGGTAGACATCTTAGCCTACATTGACATCCAGCTATTTTGCTTTATCATTCTACCTTTATTTTGAAAATCTTTGGTATATATAAGGCATTTTCGCAAACAAAATTTATTGTGAAATAAAAAGAAAAGGTCTTTCATATTAAATCATGAAAAGCATTTGATATTAAAGTATACGTGTGCCATTTCTCATTGAAGTGGGTCATGTCCGACGTTCTTTATTGTCCCTGTGACCCAGATAACCATAAGGTCGCTCTGCCTAATTTCAACATGGCATGGGCCACGCCACTTTTTAATGGTGTAAGTTGCAGATACTTAGGAAATATTTAATTATTACCACCATTTACATCAAAATATTTGATAACTTGTGTTTTAGAATGCATTTTGAAGACATTTAAACTGGAATGTTTTAATTTGAGCTTTAAAAACCATGTAGAGTCCATAAATCATCAGAATTTTCCGTGTGCAACACGTCATTGGCAACTATTCACAGCCACTTGCATAATGGCTATATCATAGTACTACCTCAGAGTTTCATTCATAATTGGTCAAGGAACGCTTTAATTAATTATTCATGTGCCAAAGTTGAAAGTTAAAATAAGTCGACCCTACTAAAAAATTCATAGCTTTTGAACCACTTGAGCTAGAAAGTTGATCTTGGTGTTTTTTTAAGCTGCTCTCCAGGCTCTATACAGCTGTAGTATTTTTATATTTTAAAAAATGTTTTGAAATTTTCATCAAAGTGCTTACTAAGATTAGCCGTTTGCAGTTCCTAACGTTGATTTTGAAGTTTACCTTTGTCACTGACCACAAAGCAAGACTTTATGGGACCTATATCGGAAAATATTTTTTCAAGCTTTTCATTATTTGTTGAATAAGGCAGATTTCTGATGAAAATAGTCTTCCCATGCTTTTCTTCATGCGTTTCTTCTGCCATATTGTTACCGGAAGTAAACACAGCGTAAAACGGCCTGCTACCTTTTCCGAGGCGGTACACTTCATATTCAAAGCCAGGTTTACCGCCGAGGTAAACGTACCCAAACAATAAAACCAGTACCATTGGTGGTAGCCTAGTTATGCGTTTTTATAAGTACTAAAATAGATAAAATCAGTCAGATTGTAAATATGGATAACCTAATGAGAGATGGAGGGAGTGGCAGACAACCACGAATGTTTGATAAATGAGAATATTTGGTGTTGTAGTTTAGGATTGCAGAAAAAAAAAAAGTGTCATAAAAAATGTCAAGCGTTACATTTAAAAAGTCACAGAAAAAAAAAATTACTAACCATAATTTTAGTTGTAATTCTATGCAATTTTAAAAAAATTACAGACTAAATTTCATTAAATGGAACCAAAATTTACGGAAGAAAAGTGATAGGAAGAAAATCAGACCCATTTGCACAAATATATTATATGAATTGATGAGTATCACATATATAAATTGATAGATAAGTCTGAAAGTAAAACATTTTAAAGACATTAAATCGAATTCTTTTTATGAGAACCATCGGAGGGCCACACTGGCAAATTATGACAAGATTGGGGAACATTTATTTGTATATCTTTCGTCGCATTGACCACATTGGTACAATTGATGTTTTGTCTGGATAGATTTGTCACTAAGCTAGTACCACAATGCAATGCCATTGGATTCCTTTACTATCTGAGATGTGTCAGGGAGATTAGAGGTAAAATCACACACGTCAACAAACAAAATAAAAACATCTGTCACCATGAGTGAGAATCAAATATCACAATCCTTTCAGCCGAAAAGCTTAATCTCTGCGCTATGGCTACCTATCATTTATTTTTAAAAGCTAAACATATAATATTCGTGTTTATTGGCTTCGTGCATTAAAATTGTAATGAATAAATCATGGAATTAAATGTTTTATTTTGAATTGTACACATAAAAAAATAACGCACTTATTTAATTCCAAACAAAACTTAATTTTTTTTTTCGTTACTCTGACTTTTTTTTTTTTTAGCTCACCTTAGTATAAATGAAGATGTGATTAGCCAAAGTTCATAATTCGTTTTGTAGTTTGTATGAGACCTTGCTATTGTAGAGTTGATTTGAACAGAACTTATATAATGCACTTGAATTATGTGAGCCTTATAAATATAATGACGATTCTCATTTCTTGAAATGGTTACACTCTTTTAGCGGCTGAACTTATAAAACAATTATTCCTTACGACCACTATCAGTACAGTAGATTAAGCCTGCTTCTTTCCTTATCTGTTTGACGCTACAAAATAACACGTCTGCAACCTTGTAAGGATTGATCTAGGTATTATTTCTCCACACCCTACAGGACATGTTTAGGAAAGGTGGTACACAATACGTTGCAAATCGTCTCTGATGCTTGCTTTAGACAGATTGGTTCTCTATGTAGTCTAAAGTAGTTCTGGATTTACCTATAAGCTAAAGAAGCTACAGCTTAGGGCCTCACAATCTGTTGGGATCCCAAAAAAATCCCTTTTAATTATTTTTTGCCCTATTTTTATTTCCCCACTTTTATTACAATGTGTTATCTTAAAATTACATTTTGCAAGTTAAACTTTTATAAATTCATGGGCTAGAAGCCGGCCTGCTTAATTCAATTTTGAGCACTGGGACAGTTTTTCAACCTCTAAATCTAATTAGCATAATATATCTAGGGTGAATCTGAATAATAGCCGATTAACTTTCATTTCTAGTGTTGCCACTCCTATGTTTTTCTGACCCTTTCTTTGTTTTTGACTCCCGAATGTAGGTTTTTAAAAAAAAAATGTATTGCAATTATTTATTTAAAAATTCCGTGTATATTACAATATTTGGTACATTAGTTTAAAAAATTCAAAAATTTTACACTATATTATCAAATAAGCGCATTCTTGTAGATTGCTGCGGACAAAAATGCGATGGATTTTGTTGCTGTTGTTCAAGAAATGCACACTTTCTTTTCATCATCTAAAAGTAGGTGGTCTGGGATGATAACTTTCTTCGAAACTAATTCAGATAACAGAGTACTAAAAAGATAGTCTGACTCTAGGTGGGAAGCTAATTTCAAAGCACTGTCTGACATAAATGTGAGTTATAAACAAATCATAGAAGCTCTAAATCACAGTAATAATGGAAATGAAAAGGACGCAGCATAACGAGAAGTTCGTAGACTTCACGAAAAAAATGACGGAACTAGAGTTTGTTTTTTATGCTATATTTAAGGAATAATTTGCACTATGAGTTATATTAATTAGGCAGACATGCCCTGAAATATTCTGGACGCGCGCGTCATGGTAAGTCGGTTAGAACTGAGTTTTGTAATGGAATTATGTATTGTACAATAAACTTCCGGCAATAACAATGGCGAAATTGACGTTTTTACTAGTTTCTATTTCTTGTCGTACTTTCATTTGTCCTGTCTGCCGAGGAAGCCCTTAGCCAAAACCTTCTTCTCTTACTGTCCTGTCTTCCGATTCAAGCTTCAACATACCTTGCTCTACCATTTCCTTTATGCAGAGTAGGTGGTTTCTTATAATTTTAAATGGGGCATGAAATTTAACGAATCCAAATGCTTCACAATGAGCATCTCAAGAAAAAAAACCCCATCAACCTATATGTACCCTCTAAACAAGACCAAGACCATGCTCCAACAAGTATCAAATAATCCATACATTGGAATTCTCTTCTCGAATAATCTAAAATGGTCCCCCCATATAAACAAAATTTTAAAAAAAGCCAACTACACACATGGGTTCATTCGAAGAAATCTGCGCTCACTGCCCAACATCCTGCAAACGAAATTATCTCGTACTCGTTCGTCCGCTACTAGAATATGGTGCGATCATCTGGGACCCATACATAAAGCAAGACGTGGACAAGAGGGAGCGAATACAAAGTAACGCAGTGCGCTTCATCGCAAGTGACTCCAAAATCCACCACTCATGGCTTCATCACTAAACTCTTAAAAAGATTTGACATCCACTCCCGCAAAGACAGACGAGCAAAGCTCCGTCTAACATTCCTCTATAAAAGTGGTTACGGTTCTAGTGCCGGCCATCCCAGTTAACACGTATCTCACCCCGCAGAAGCCAGGTCGCTTAATCAGAGCCAAACGCTACATGAGCAGTTACATTCGGAACAATAGTAAATGCTTCACTGTGCCTCGATGTAACACAGTTCAATATAAACAATCATTCTTCCCACGATTAATAATTGCTTGGAACCAACTGGACAGTGCCGCCGTGGACTAGACATCAATCGAGAGTTCAAGGCTGCCCTGGCACCACCCGCTAGGAGCCGTTAGGATAACCACATCGCTTCCCAAACCGTTAGACTATCAGAATCGGAAGTAAAAGTCCCCCTTTTTTGTTATGTCCATTGAAGTAAATTCCCTTTAAGTGCGTAGCCATGTTGACAGCTGACAGATACCAACCCGGTGCAACCCCAAGCAATAAGGCGTGGCCAGTGACTTAGAAAAAAGGATCACATTAGGGCGGATCGAGAGATAGGGAGATCAGCTGCCTCAAGGGAACCTTCTTAATGAGTTGTTACGTTTTATTTATATTGATAATATCCAGTGATTGTACATAAAAGCATGGCACTAGTTATATTTATTGAAGAATAATGATTGATATCTTATATTACTTTTGAATAATAACTTCTCTGTAGCTGTTGCGGTTTAGATTGATAGTCGTTTCGTTTCTTTTATGTTGTGTTTCCATGGAAACATCAAAACAAGGTGGTGTCAGGAAATTGTCGAGAGAAATATCACCTCAGCATTTAAGGACAGCTCGTGCCGTTTACGAAAAACAACAACAATTACATCTTTCGAAAAGCAACACATCAGTGACACATGTTTGGATTCTGATAATTTTTCAAGGTCGAATGAGTTTATTTAAAAAAAAAAATGTTTATTGTTTTTTCCACAAATAAAAAAAACAATTAAAAAATATGTAAAGAATTTATTTAATTCTGAGAAAAAGATTCCTTTTATTTAAGCATGTAAAAAAAAATAAATAATCAAGCAAATTGTTTTCTTTCATTTTTTATTAAACATGTTACCGCCAAATATTTCATCACAGGCTTCATTTGATGACATTTCAGCACGTTAAGCTCTTCCCAACAAAGTTTTGTAATAACATGTAAATAGAAACATCTAAAAAAAGTTTCCAATAATTTGTATAAGATTAAGTTTTAAAAAATAAGCTGAAAGTGGTGGTGTCCAAAACTATAATAGTTCCAAGAAACAGACTATTAGATAAGTGACAATCATAATTTGGGACAAATAATGTCTATTGTATACGCATCGGTATAAAAGGAAATGTAGGCTTCAAGACACTAAAGGCAACAAGGCACAAGACTGGTCCAAGAAGCAGCCGCCAGCTCATAAGCTTTGCCAAAGATTCTTCTAGAGCACGTCAACAATGTTAGGGATACACATTTTATAAAATTATATTGTTTTGGTTAAAAAAAAAAAAATGAAGCATAAATATTTTAGCACTTCGTAATTTTCACTATTTTTATTACCAGTATTTATTTTAAGAAAATCGCGTTCTTTCAGTTGATGTGTATTGATTGACAAATGAATATATGATATTCTTGAAAAATAATTATAAAAAATTAGTTTAACTGTAATATTAAAAACAAAAAAAAAACGACACGTCTTTATAGCTGAACCTAATCATTATTGTGTGTCATAGACTGTGTGCTGAGATGTTTACGTGTCCATGTGAACATCTCAAGTAAGACGAATTATGGTATGCGACTACGTGGAGTGTTGACCGGTGTCGTGCTGTCAAATAGTTGCACTTACAGGTTGATTCGACTACGTGGAGTCTGCTGTACTGTCCACTGGTAGCCCATATATTATGATGGTTCGACTACGTGGAGTCTGCTGTACTGTCCACTGGTAGCCCAAATAGGATGGTGCAACTGATATGATCGAATTCAGCGTCATCATGGAG